AACTTAAGGAGACCCTGTCTCAAGATTTTAAAAAAAAAGGGTTGGGATGTTGCTCTGTGGTTAAGTGTTAAGTACCTTTGGGTCAATTCCTAGTACAGAAAAAGAAAAGAAAAGAAAAAAAAGACAGGGAAATCATGATGTAGACAGACACTGGATTTCAACAGATATATAACAACATATATACTGTAGCACAACACTAGCCTCAACACAGCAGTTGCTTAATATTCTACAAATATTCTCCTCAAAACATCAGTCTATGCCATGAAATACACAAGATCAGAAGTTACCTTTAAAAATGAGACTCTGGGCTGCAATAATATTACATATTTTAGTATTTAACCATAGATTAAATTGGAGATTCCTCATTTCATCTCTAAAATTAGATCTGTACTATGTATTAAAATGTATTTATTTTTAACCACATTAACTCCCATATCCTTGTTATGGTTTCAAAGCTTAAATCAGAAGCCACCAGAACCAATATTGGTTTGGCAGATACTTGCTTACATAGTGATTTGAAGGGTGTTTTGAGAAAAGGTTCATTTGAACCAAATTGTCTCTACCACTGACCCTTCTATTATCTACTAAACTGTTAAGTGAATTTATGAAGATAACTTGAATGATCCAGACATCAATCATATAGATCCCTTAAAGAAAAGGAATCAGTGAAAAGGAGATACAAGAAGAAAACGAAATTAAAAGCCAGGGATATTTCCCAGGAGAGCTGAATATGAGCATTGTTAGAAATATGACACAGGATCCATACAAACAAATTAGAGGGAAGAAAAAACAGAGGAAGAAACATTTTGGCACTTTTTTTTTTATTTGGAGCAGAGAAGGATTGATTTTCTATTCACTAGATTCCCAACTTTACCTACCATAAGAGCCTAATGTTTAGGAAACATTGTAACCTCCTAAAGATGATTTACAATATTTTGTTCCTGTGAAGATAAAGCCTTTAAACAAAAAGCAATCTATCAATCTACCACTCTTCAGAAGAATGATGTTATCTATCAGGGTACTTTCCTACTCTTACAGGCAATGCTTGCTAAGGACTCAATAAGGGAAAAAATGCTGCTTCAGAGAGCATATCTACAGTTAATTAATTATTCTAGCTGAGAGTGTGTAGTAAACAGTCTCTCCTTTACAAACAGACAGCAATTGACTTCCTATGCTTGAACTGGGGGATGGTTAAGTTTTCTTGGCAAAGGTTCATATGGACCCTATGACCCTAATCTTTTATTTAAGGGAGGGCTACATGGAGAAGATGAGGAATTTCTCAGGAATATTCAATAACTATTTCTTTTTCTTTGTCCTCCACCCTTCCCAAGTTAGAGATGCGGTGTATCAGGTAAAAATCATGAATGGTAGGAAGAGAGTTAGTAGACTATGATACCTGATAAAAACATGAATATACTACAGGAAATTTATACATTTGAAAATTGAAGCAAGAAGGCAACCAACCAAAAGAACCCAGGGATCCTCTCTTTGGTATTGTGAACAGTTAATAAGATACCTAGTGTACCTAGGTGTGTGTGTGTGTGTGTGTGTGTGTGTGTGTTATGTTTAAATTTGCTATCAGGAAATAATCTGTAAGATGTTAGTATTAATGTTTTATTTGATTTCTCTGAGAAATGTAATTGATATTGTTTTTATTAAAAGGATAGAATGAAAATATCCAGTATAAGCAGATTTGTCAAACACACATTGAAATAATCTGGCTAGTGACAGCTTGTCTTTTGCACAGTCTGCAATTTATTCTGGATTACTTGTATAATAAATTTACAAACATACATCTATCAAATGAAAACATATATATCATACAAGTTTAGTGGATTGAAAATATTCTCAAAATTTAGCACTATTCCAGATTTTATAACTCTACTTTAAATGCCAACAGGTCATATGGGTAGCATAAAAGAAAAAAATGTCCTGGTGAGGATTTCCAGCAGAGAGAACTCTGGATGACCCACTTATAGGGACATTCTCCGCCTGGCTACAAGAGGTTTGCTATCTGTGGCAATGTCAGTTCAGGGTTTGTGGTGTACCTGATATTCAAGAAAAACAGAAAGCTCTTTTTTTTCAACATAAAATTGTGTATTCTAGAAAGTTTGCAACTAATTTTCATTTAGAAAGATTTATGTATCAGACCAGGCGCAGTGATGCATGCCTGTAAACCCTGTGATTTGGGAGGCTGAGACAGGAGGATTCCAAGTTCAAGGCTGACCTCAGCAACTTATTGAGGCCCTACACAACAGACCCTGTCTCAAAATAAAAAATAAAAGAGCTGGGAATGTGGTTCAGTAGTAAAGCACCACTGGGTTAAATCCCCAGTCCACCTCCCCACACCCCGCCAAAAGGAACATTATATATTAAATTTTATATCTGAGAAAAAGAACTACCAATTTCAGCTAATTGATAGATTACTTTATATAGTTTTACGTTTCTATATATATTAGTTCACATTTTTTGATTGATCACATACAACCCAATGAGTTTGCTTCAAAAGGGAGTCTCAGACTTCTAACATAAAGGGCAAATGAGATTCACTTTGTCTTTTTATGAAACCTTGATAAGAATTTACAAATAGTCCTTTAGGATTTAGTCATACACACAGAGTAAAATATTAAATGAATTATGAAACTGGCAATTATGAATCCATAATTTAAATCACTTAACTCAGCCTCAAAATCATTGGTTTATTTAATGCAGAGTATACTATTTTCATTTTTTTACAGAACCTACTTCACTGACTAAGCTGCTCTTGCTCTGCACAGATACAAGATAAGAGATCTGAGGCAACCATGGCCTAGGGCAGTTTGGATTTGGTTTATAAATATTTTAAAGTTGTCAGAAATACCCTAGAGTTGTACAAGGGCCAGAGATTAAGAGATTCAATCCAAGAAAAGAAGGGAAAAATCCCACTAATGATACCAAGAATTGGACAAAGATGACATTAATGATACCTACTTACATTTTCCTCTGGCAGTTCATTTGAGGAGTGTGTGTGTGTGTGTGTGTGTGTGTGTATGTATGTGTGTATTTTCTTTGAAAATAGAAATAACTTACTGAAAGAGGCCTTCACTTTATTGCAACCAAAAGAATGGCCAATATAACTTAAGTAAGCAATAACTAGTGTTGTTTAAAACCTGTTTAGATTTTAATTTAAAAGTTGGACATTTTAATACTAGGAAGTTGATTTTTTCAAAAAAATAATTTTTTATGGAGACAAGGAAGCTTAATAAATAGAAACTGTTCTCTTAATAGCCTAAACATTATTTCTTAGAGGCTTTTAATTTAGGATTCTTTAATCAAACCTATAAGAAATGATCAGATCACCTTCTGTATGATATACTGAAATCAATAGAAGAAAAAGAATTACATGATGAAAAAAACAGATGTACTACTAGTTATCCATTCGTTCTATTCTGAAATTTGTACCATGCATATATGAATTAATAATTTAAAAATTAAAGAAATAACCAACAAAAATGATGAAAAAATCACAGTTTCTAAATTTTAGTAAGTTTATTCTTAATTCTAGATATATAAACTACATCGTTTCAAGTCAATTCTGAAGCGTAGAAAAAAAGAATTTTAAGGAGATATTAATTAGAATAAACAAATATTTTATAGAAACTATATGTGTATGTACATACATATATATTTATGAGTACTACTATTACAGACATCCAAGGAGAAACTTTAAAAGAAAGGAAGTTTTTTTGTAATCATGAAAGCTGTAATTAGGCAATAAAAAGTTGCCACAAAGAAATTCTATTTAAATTTCTTATATAAAAACAATGTTCAAGAATCAGACCCAGACTTTATAGCACTTATAAGCATAGCTAGTTTTGCACAGATGTTTAAGTTGATTTAAATTTTCAAAATTACTTGAACACTCTGCATTATGTGGGGGATACCAAAGTGATTGTGGAGTGAGGATGTGAGAGTTTCTAGGAAAATACTGAGAAATGTTGAACACTCTTCAGATAATGGTAGAATACTGCCCTCTTATTTTTTAAGTTTTAAAAGTGTGTACAAGAAAATAAGGAGACAAACAAAAGAAAAACAAAAGCTTAGATAAATGCCAGCATTTTTAGTCATCTCTACTTCTTATTTAAGAAATAAAAACCAAAGAAAATCCTTGTTTATGTAAAGCATTTATGTCAAACTTGCATTATATCATTTAAATGTTATGTATCATGTCAATGCCTACAATTAGTTTTCACATATGTATGTGAGGACTCACATTTTGTAATAGGTACATGACACATTAGTACGTATTTCAGAGAATGTTACTGTATTTGGTTTGCAAGGGTGAACTCCTTAAAATTTAAAATTATGTGTTCCAGAATCTTCTTGGCCAAAAGTTTCACAGTATATCATCTAATATAAAACAATCCTCTTTTCAAATGAAGCAGATGTCTATAAATAGTAAGCAACAAGGAGGTTTTCACTGGAGACCTCCAATAGAGGTCTTTCATTGATATTTCATTCACTAGTAAGATTTTACCACTGAACAATCACTACATGAAACACTGAATATAGGGTCATACATAGTTCTGGGTTTGTTTATTATTATATTGCATTATACCTTTATTAAAATTGTTTCTTTCTTTACTATCCCATGCTTAAGGGATCTGCTCAGATAAATGGTTGTGGGATAAATAAAGCTGACAAATACAAGTGATGGTATCTTTTGGCATTAAGGTAATTATAGATCATTACATGATAGGAATAACAAGTAGTTCTAAAGTAATATGATTAAATAAAACACTTTAAAACTAATGTTTTAATTCACCTAGGCTTTTTAATATTTTACTATTTTTGCTTTGTTGCTTCAAAGCTATGAATTTCAAGATTTATTTGTCACTATTCTCTATATTTTGTGCTGTACACAGTATTTGTGGGCTATGGCAACCAATCCCCTTGGGCTTTCTTTTGCTTTAATTTGCATAAACACAGGCATCATATGAATATTCAGTGAGTGGCTTTGCATTAAGTAAGTGCCCTTAATCAGCTTTTCAGTTCAGTTTTATTGGTTGCACGCACAGTCAGTTATTTCATCCAGAAAATCTGAAGGCCCTACAAACTAACCAGGTAAGGATTGTAATTCCTTGATGCATTTAATGAAAGAATATTATCATTTGATTACATAGGTTCTGGAGAATGCTAAAAGCATGGTGGGTTTTTTTTTTTTTCCCTGTGTTTTTTTCTTCCCTTGGTGGTCAGGTGGATGCATGATTCTCTAATTTGCATAAACATCAGCTCTATGAATAATTCATCAGGGTTATTTTAAACACTAGGCTTCTACTTTGGATGGCACTAGAGTACTGCCATTTGATTGGCTGGTTGCTGTTTTCATCACCAGCAGAATTCCTATAACATGAAAGCACCTAAAGGAGCTGAATTGAATATACAGTATTTGTTTTTTTAAAAATGCCTGTTATCTTTTCAAAGCAAATTGTGCCGATTTCCCCCCTCCCTACCATTAGAGCTTTTGCTTTTCATGATAAATACATTACAAGCTCAAATGTGGCTGTTTGTAGACTTGACCGGTGTCTGTGATTTCTGGAGAATGGGGTAGCAGCTGTATTCTTCTGAACATGCATAAACATGAGCAACATGTAAATAAGAAACTGTTACATGCTTACGGAGCTCTGGACAGCTCCATTGCTAGGATCCATCTATTTTCTTTATCAGAATCATCTCTTTCAATGATAACTTTGAGACTGTTTCATCTACTTTAAAATGCCATGGACAATTACGGTAATATATATGCATATAATAAGCATATATGATCTGACAAATTATTTCTTGTTGAATGTATTATTTATAGTTTCCTTTCAGCCCACCTGCAGATTTTTAAATTTGGCAGTTGTTTGCAATACAATAGTGACAAGAGAAGTGTTAATCAAGAATGACCAGTATAATTAATTTCCATATTGTGGTGTAATTCACTCCCATAATTTACTAAAAATAAATTGTGCCTTTCTTTATACTAGAGCAATATGGAAGTTCAAGCCATTCTTTGTTAGTTACTTGAAGATTAGCCATTTGCCTTTCTGATCTCAGTCCTCACTGACACGATTCTCATTGTAAACATTTGTGATCCTGAAATATTGTAGACATTCAATATTACAAAATGGTGCAAATTGAATTGAGTGTTCCATTTTTGTTTTCCTAAGCTATAGAGGTAATGTAGCACAAATTACTGTTATGGAAGACACATTAAATGATATGTGTAATCAGTGTGTGTAATCAGCTATAAAATAATCCATGTTTACTCTACTTCCTATACATTGTATAGATAAAAATCAAATATATCTTTAATAATGAACAAAGGAGGCTGAAAATTTCTCAGTATTTGGTAGATTTTACATATGAAATTTTTAATGATCCCTTTAAGTTGATATTACACAGTAACATTATTCACTGGCTTCTTATAAATACTATGCAAATATGTGAGTTACTTATGCTGAAACTGAAGACAAATAAAATCCTTTTCATTTTTCTTCCTAGTTATTTATGCATCCAGTGATAGAATTGGGCTAGTTCTTATTTTCTTTTAATTGAATTATTTGTAGGTAGATGAAGATCTATTTCTATTTTCTTTCTTTTTCTTCTTTTTATTTTTGCTTTATCTTTGGAATCAAGATGTTAGAAAAATACTTCTGAGATAATATTCCTTTACTCAGAACCAACATTCATAAATACATTTGACATTTTTGTAAAAATGCTTAATAATAAAAAGTGGAGCAAGCAATTAAAAATAAAATTTGTTTAAAATGAGAGGAAAATGCAAATTTCTCTCAAAATTCCTTGTGATTATATTAACAATTATATTTTACATGTAATTATAAATAGTAATTTAAATCTCACATCTGCGTGTGCTATGTTTAATTAAATTTTGCAAGATTCAATACGGATGCTGTTTAAGTATCAGCCATTAAATGTTTACAACTGTAATAAACACCACACACAATCTATATCATACCATGTGAAGATTCTGAGTGTGGTACCATTTAACCAAAGATACCTATTCAAATGATGCTTATTTTATTTAATATCTGTCATATGAAATTAGTTGAATGTGTAGATCATCAATATTTATTTTTTAGATTTCTTTAAAAATAATCCAAATTATCTCAAAACCAGAAATGAATAATTAATTTCACAAGAAGATCTTATTCTGTAGACCTACAAGTTTATAATTCTACTTTAGATGTGTATAATTTTGAAAATTAAAAATTTTCATTTAATTATTTTTGATGGAATTATTTTGAAACATCCAATTTAATGCAATAAGCTGAGTTTCTTTACCCTTTTGCCATTTATATTATTTGCAGCAACTGCTGAAGCTTATTTTAAAAATATATATATTTTAAGTGAAGTTGGAAAGTACAAATCTAGTGAATGACTATAGAATTTACCTTCTACTTCAGTTTTTTTCCTAAAAAGATAGAAATCATTTTGCATTGTATAAGCCTTAGAAAAAAGAGAGCATTTGGTTAAATTTTGGAAATAAATTATCATATAAATAGAATAGATATAATGCATTGCATTCCTAAGGAGGTAAAATAATTTGTCTTGCAAATAAAGTCTTATTTCATGTAGTATTTTTATATTTTAGTTATTTTTTTAAACAAAAATAATGAAGCATAATGCACGTTTACACTGTCAATTAAAAGATATTTTCTTTAACATTTAATCACTGTATATGATAGATAAAAAATTACATGTGTACTATTATCTAGAACATTTACATTCTTATTTTAATCTTCTGATTATGGTGTCAAAAATTGTTGGTGAGGGATCTAAGCAATTAAGGTTATACACACACACACACACACACACACATACACACTAAATTCACTAGTAGTTAGAAAAACTGTAACTAATCAGTATGTTTTTTCCTTCATAGAATAAAATCTAAATTGATCTACATGAGGTAAAAAAAAGCATTAAACTTGAAGAACATTTGTCTTCATCTAAGTTTTGGTATTGAATATTACCTTGAAACATTTTGTCCCACTGTCCCAGAAATGGATACCTAAAAACTTAAATATATCATACAGTATATAATATATTGTAATATAAAATATGATGTTATCCACATTAATTTATATAATAACGTGTAATCTCTTAATTATGATTTCCAATCCATTTTATAGTAGCTGTGTTAATTTTATTGAAATATTCACAGAAATGAAAATTTGGGACTCAATGGGTTAAGGCAAGAAGTGTCAATTACCATCTATAGCTCCCCTAGCATGCATTTTAGAAGAGACTGAATATTCCCAATGAAGATAGGATATCCTTTAAGAATTCTTAATCTAACTGATGGATGCAAGTGTATGATTTGAACACTCATGTACAAATCCCTCTACCCAGGGTCTCTTAGCTTACAGGAACCCAATCACTCAAATTTGCAAATTTACTTGAAACTTTCTTTTCATTTTCTTCAACTGTGCTCTTTAAATCTAGATAAGCTGATTGTCAGACTTACAAACCTTGTGCCTGTATTAGCTGGTATAGAGAAGGATGAGAAGCAAGAGCAAAGGTGTGGCCTATTTTTGAGCTGTCTAGTTCTGATTGGAGCTCCTCTCTACTATGCGAATTGCTCAGCTCCATTACTTAGAATTGTGCATTCAATGATATTTTAATGGAATGAAATTCTGTGAAGTTACTCTGTAACTAGTATTTGTGCAGCTACTGCTAAAATATGATACTCATCATACATAGGTTGTCAGCCAGTATTAATGAAGATTGCTATGAACTTTGGTAGTGAATATTTTTATTAAATTTTTAATTCAGACTCTGAATTTCCCAGTGGAATTCTGAAACATAGTGATTAAGAAAGCAAGAAAGTAATATTTACAGTTAAAATTATCTTTTAAATGTTAATTATTTTGGAGGGAATATAACACTTTATCTTCTATTACATTATTTATTAAAGACATACATGACATATTGGTAGTCTACCTGGGATGAGTAATTCAAATAGAAAGATTTTTAGAATTTTTTAATAAGGAAGGATCTTTTAGAATTATCATGTGTTCTTTTATATTTATTAGTATTGTACATTCATTAAATTTATAGGATTTTAAGTAGCATACCTTGAATGAATCACTCTGGATTGAGATTGTATCGAATATAGTTTTTTTTAATGTCTAAGTATAAATGATGCTGGTTAAAAATGTGTGTATTTTATTTTTTTGAGGTTACGATGCAATAACAAAGCTTTATTAGTTATATAAAAAGAGTTGTACAGTTTTCTCTCTTTTGTTTGACACAAATTTAAATCAAATATCAATTTTTTTTTATTTTCATACAAATTTCCCCCTAATCATTTGGGGTGAATTTTTTCAGTTTTTTGAGTGATAGTGATCAGTTGTATTCTTTCTTTTTAAAATTTTTTTTAGCTGTACAGGACACAATGCCTTTATCTGTCTATCTATCTATCTATCTATTTATTTATATGTGGTGCTGAGGATCAAACCCAGTGCCTCACATGCTCCAGGCAAGTGCTCTACCGCTGAGCAACAACCCTACTCCCAGATTATTTCTTATTGCATACATTTAGACCACTTATAATTTTCTTAGTAAATTGTTCATTTTATCTAAGTTTTTGACTAACATAAACTACTCCATTTTATTTTTCTTATGATTTTAAAATCTTGAATATATGTCCAAAATGCCCCTTTTTTCATGCTGTATCTTCTTTGTGATTTTTAAATGGTTTCCTCTTGGATATTTCTGCAAGAGTTTTGTCTATTATAAATCCTTTCAAAGGAGTAGTTTTGGATTTTGCATAATATCTGTATTATTCTCTTATTCTTTATTAACTTTTGTTTTTTAAAGATTTGTGGCCTCAGGTTCCTTTGAAATTATCTCTAAGTTTTATTTCAGCTCTAAAATTCTATGATTTTTGTAAAGTTATTCTGTTTTTGAAGCCAACAAAATTCTTACATAAACATAAAATGAAGTAGTCTTTTAGTTATTAACTGATGATGCTACTTAGGTAGAAATCATACCTTTCATTTTCAGTCATCACATGCAGACCTTTCTACATTACTGTGAGTATATTTCAGCCTTTA